CCGCAGAACGCGCCCCCCCCGGAGCCGCTGCGCCTCCGCGTGCGGCGGCGACTTCATCTCGAACGAGATTTCGTGCGAGCGAACGTCCTCCGCCACGTGGCCGAACGGAAACATTCCTAACAAAAACCCTACGAAGAAGCACAGCACGCACCTGAACGCCGCGCGCCTCCACTGCCCCTTCCGACCGTGCCTTCCGCCGGCCAGCCGCCGCAGCGCCGCCACCAGCGCCGGCAGCGGCGACGAGTACTTGGCGTTCGCGTTGGCGAGCTTGTGCGCCGGAGAGGAAACGGAAAACGCGCCGTTTAGGTACTGGCGATCGTGATACGCCGGCGACAGAGTCCGTCGAAACGACGCCATTAATTTAAGCTCGATTCAAAAAAAAAAAAAAGAAGGAGAAATGAAAATTATGGCGGTAACTGAAAAGAGAAGTACATGAGGAAGGAATAGAGGTTGAAATGAATGAGAGAAAGATCGAAAACCCTAATCCAGTAGATACTGTGTGAAGCGAGAATTTAGAGAAATGAGAGATCTATTGCTAAATCTTCAATTTATCACTTTCTTCCTATTTTCTTCACTCTCACTCTCAGATCAAGACATGAGGAGAGAAATAAAAGTCTGCACAATCTGGATTCGGGTCGGGTTAAGGATCCGGTGCCTCAAATCAAAGAAACTCGTGTACCCGGCAAAAAAACAAAATATAATAAATAGTGAACGTTATTATTCATTTCAAAACCTCTCTTTATCAATGCCATACGCCATAGTTTAATTAGTTGGCCTCTTTTTTTTAATTCTTCTATTTATTGAACATGACGTAATAATCTTCTATTCAAATTATTGGGATATTTTCATCACCAACTCATCGTATTATTTGACCAGTAAAAATCATATTATGAGAATATGTGAATTCATTTTTTATCGTTAATTTTCAGATATTATATAAACGATATCTGTAAACCAAAAAATAAATCTCAAATGGGTCTTATTGATAAAAATTAGTTAAATTAACTACAAAACACATAAAAAGTACGTGTAAAAATAATGCGTTTTCTTTGTTTTATTTATAGAAATTATAATAACTATAGCATGCTTTTAATTATATATTTTTTGAAAAGTGTTTTTAGAATAAATTTGAAGATATTATAAAATTTAATGATTCAGAAAATGAAAAGCTAATAAAAGAAATAAATATTCAACGTCAAATCTTTAAGAATGTTGGTTATCTTAAAATAAAGATCTCGTGCACTTCATGCCTAAATATATAATAAAAATCACGTGTTAAATTAGACAAAAGATAGGTTTTCTTTGACTTAATATTTCAGTATATTTTTTAAAAAATATATGTATGCTAAAATAATCTCTCTCTATATATAAGATAAGTTACATATAAATTTTAATGAAAAAATTAAATACGTGTTATTTAGTAAAGGTAAAACCAACATACCATTTATCTATTAATAAATAATGCGTCAAAGATGTTGTATTATCTATATTGAGAGAGGATATGTGTTAATATATTACTAATACTTCTCTTATAAAATACTCGATATCATATAATTTTGAGGTTAGTAACCATAAGGAAAAAATATATAAATAAATAAATAAATATATATAT